AAAATAAAAATCTACAAAAATGATTGGCTCTAAATTATTGACCAATCAAAAAGTAATTAGATTCACAGTCAAAAAAAAAAAAAAAAAACCCTCACTTTTGTTGGTTTGTCAAGTAAGAAACTTGACTCCGTAACATGCCTATAACTTCATATTTTCATACATAAAGATATTTAAACGATGAGGAATCGTATTAACATAACAAAACATTGGCACTGAAGACTCATCACATATCAAATTAATATAACTTTTACGTAATTTCTTATATGCAGTGCTACTTTTGGGGAATTTCAACATTTTGATCAGTGTCTTAAGTTATCCAATATTTCCCAGGTCTCTCCAGGTATTTCCCAGATCTCTTAAATTCACTTCGTCAGGAAGTAAACAACCTCATTTTTCTATCAATCTTTCTTTCTTTGCTCTAAGTAAAACACTTATTTTTAATTAGCTGAACTTTTGGGTAGCATCTTGTGGCTGCAAACAGCTTTTAGTGACTTATTTGTAAATTATCTTTTAAAAACTACTCATTATTATTATTATTATTATTATTATTATATTTTAAATTCATTTCCTTAAAAATATCATCTTAAGTAAAGATAATTATTCTCTCAGATGATGTTCAACTTTATACAAACTAATTTGGGTTGTCTGCCATACAACAGGCTAACCTAGTATTGTAGCCTTATTGCCAAAGCTTGAAAAATTCTTATATATTTTTTTGATTGCATGTTTTATATATATATATATATATATATATATATATATATATATATATATATATATATATATATATAGCGTGTGTGTGTGTGTGTCTCTATTTGGGTAGCAATCTCACTTTTATACAAGTTTCATTAAATACTGTAGATGTATACTTAAAACAATCCATACAGTCAGTTAAAAGTAAGAATAAAATCAGCCTTGATTATAGCTAAGATTATAGCCAAAAGTGCTTGGATATACAAACCATTTGGACAATTTCTATATAATTTATGTCCAGAAAAGAAAATTATAAAAGACACAAGAAAAATTAAATAAAAGACTTTAGCACAGTACTTTGTCTGTCATATTTAATGAAACTTGTGTGCATGCATATATATATATATATATATATATAGTGTGTGAGATGGAATATGTGAAAACCAGTTGGAGTTGAAGTTTTTATTCTGCAGCTAATTGTTTCATTCACAATTAGTTTTTGTTCAATTGAATAAAATGTTGGCAGAATAACAGAATAAAAAAAATTAAACAACTGGTCTTCCCATATTTCATACTTTGCTCAGATGTTTCAGTCATTTTATCATATATATGTGGACGCAGGTCAACACTGAGCAGTGATAGCCTGCTTCATACAATATTCAAATCATATATATAAGTCATGACCAGATTATGAAAATAAGATTTATCTGGTAGATTATTAATTTTTCTAATTCTTTGTTATGAAGGTTTGTTAATAATAATTTTGCCTTCAATAAATGGTTAGATAAAAAGATCTTCCATTGATTTCTACCTTTTGTACCTTGTAATATAAATAGCAAGGAAACAACTGAATAGAAATGGAGTGTTACTTTTAACTAATCGTGTGTGTGTGTGTGTGTGTGTGTGTGCGTTTCCTAAATTTTGGGGAAACTTTATTCTTTTGCATCTGCTGTGAACTCATTTTGATTAAGACACTATGGCCTTCCTCAGGTATTCTGTCTATATGGAAAGAAAATATTTTTCCCGGCAGTGTAAAGCAATTTTTTTTTTCATTAAATTCATCTAAACAGCAATGCTTATAAAATCAGTTACTATATTCAGTTACATGTGCATCTTGTTCCAATATCAAATGTGGAGATGCTTCCAAACCCTTTGTATAATTTCAACAAAGAAATGTACATTGTATTGAAATTTGTACTAATGCACCTGGCAGATAAGCTGATAGAAAACACTTTCCAACTTTTTCAATTGCCTCAGGAAGGCCATTGAATGAAGCAACCAAAATAAATTGTATTGACAGCAAAGACAAAAGATAAATTTGTCTCCACCAGCCCCACCAAAAATAGAAAAGTTGTAAGTAGGAAAAACAGGCAGAATTTAAATAAACAGAAATCATGGCAGTAATTGAATGAGACTTATCTAAAGATGTCTTACTTGTGTGAGGTTCCCATTTCCATTAGGGGAAGATCTTTAAAATGGATTTTGCTGAGAAAAGGGAGATAATAAAAAAAGGAATAAATTGAGCAAACAACTTTTCTTTTTTCCATCACTTGGATTAAATTAATTTTCTGCTCACTGATATAAGAGGCCATTGTTCTAATTCTTCCTCAATTTACAAATTTCAATATTTTTTGGCAGTTATTTTAACTGGTAATGCTATATACATGAGAAAGAATTGAGAGAAATTTGTTTTTTTCAGATTTCATAGGAAAAATGGGTTTATTGATGAGGATAAACCTGAAGCCAAGCTTCTGAAAAATTATTAGCAATCAATTTTCATTTTCCCTGAACAAAAATTAGATTATTTTATGGATGGATAAAAGTTGGAACCCACCACCCACAAAAAAAAATAAATAAATAAAAAAAAATAAAATAAAATAAAATTTTGAAAAAAATATTTAGTAAATATTAAAATGTTAGTTTCTGTTAAATAATATGAAAATACAGAAATTTAAAAGGTTTGAATAGCAAAAAGGAATGCTGCAAAATCCTTGGCTGGACAAAGATACCCCCACACCCAAAATTCTGATTTTTGGTCAGATTTCAGAAAGTGGGTTGGCCAAGAATTTTTCAGCACTCCACTCTCATAATAACAATAATAATCCATATTTCTCATTTAATTTACTCACAACTGAAAAAAAAAGAAAAAAGTCATTTTTATTACAGTGAGAATTAAAAATTAAAAAGATTATTTTTTCTGATAATTTGGGAATTAAGATGAAATAAAAATTAAGAAAAGTAAAACATTATTTAAAAAAAAAAAAAAAAAAAATCAAACATTAAGTAATTTTTTCTTAAACGTTTTCTGTTTTTCTTTCAGGAAGAAATTTCAAGAAAAAAGAAAGAAAAAAAAGTAAAAAAAAAAACATCAGGCAAGTCAAAGTTTAAAACCAGAAAACAAATATTGAAAAATATGACTCAATGCTTAATGAACGTGGTTTGGTAATAGTCACAGATCAGTGCATAGACAGACACACACACACGTGCATAGACAGACACACAGACAGACACAGAAATATACAAAAAGGTGGGGTGTGGGAGTGGAATAGGGGTTATTGCTAATAAATGGCTGTAAATTTAAAACTCAATGGATTGAATTACAAGTAAACAAATTACCAGTGATGGTCGTGGAGCTTTTCTTGTTTTTTTGTTTTTTTAAATGATGTAATGAATCTTTGAAAAACTGGAAGTCTTTTTTGTTTAAATTTTGATAATTTGGATATATAAGCCAACAATTTTGCAATAAATTCTGCTTGAAAATATACAAATATAGTGTCACCTGATAAAAGAAGAAAAAAAAAAAAACCGTCATAAGCTTTCTGAGTGTTGGCAAAAAAATAGATATTTTCTGATTTAATTTTAGGAGGGAAACGAGAAGATCAAATGAATGTGATGCGTGGGAAGATGGGAGGAAGAAAGAGGGGGGGGTCAGAATAAATGAGATGGGGCAGGGCGATGAGCAAAATTAAGGGGCCCATGTGAGATAGGAAGCCAGAGGGTGAAAAATCAAATGAGAAACTGGAAGGAAAGGAATGGGGTGGGTGGGGTTTCAAATGAAATGGAATGCAAGAGGGAAATAGTGAACGAATAAAAATAAGAAGATCGATTTTTTTTTTTAACAAAACTGAAACTGTTTTGTTTGCTATTTTAAAAATTTCTTTTTAAACCAATTTTTTTTTAATAGTATAAAGTGTTTTTGTTTTTAAATATTTTTTTTCTTAATTTTTGGGGATTTTTTCTTAAACGTTTTTCTTTATTTTTTTTCTCACAACCTGAGAGTTGTGTAAAACTGAAATCTTTTTTATTTTTTTATTTTTTTATTTTTTAAAGAAGAGCAAAAAGGATTTCTTTCACTAAGCCCAGAGTAGAAGGTTACAAATTGTTAAGGGCCCAGTACATCCTGAAATTTAAGCAAGTGTCTGCAATAAAAACACCTTTAACCTTTGGTGAGTCATCTAAAATCTATTAAAAATGGCAGTGTCTGATTTCCTTCTGTGGTCAGAACTCTCCTATCCATTTGAGCACTTACTCAACATCAACACAATTCAGGATTAGGAGTTTTATACCCATAAAATGGAATAACTTTCTTTAACAAACATGATAATTCACTTTGAATAATTTATTAAAATTACTGATTTAATTAACTGTTTTGATTAAAGAAAGAATAAAATAAATACTAATGTAAAAAAAAAAAAAAATAAATAAAGAACAGGATTCTCCCTGCCAAGAAAATAAAGAATTATCTTAAAAAGACCAATGCCATTTAAATCTAGAAACACAAGAGATTAGCATAAAAGAATAGAAGAAAAAAAATACCTTTGGGAACAAATACTACAACACCGGGGGGTGGGGTAGGGAGTATTATTGAAATAAAAATTTAATTTTTTTTCTTATATATGGACTTTTTACTGTATTTTTTGCTTTTGTGCTTTTTTTGGTCTTTTATTGTTAGAACATTTACATGTTCACTAAAACAAAATTAAAAATGGAGAAATGTTATATGTTTGTATATATGTGAAAGATTAATAATAATAATAATAATACAGTTTACATAAAAAAAAAAAAAAAAAAAAAAATGTAATTTTTATTTTGTTTTTGTCTGCTTTTCAAGATTGGGAGAAAATTTGATAAGAACGAGAATTTGGGATTGTGCATTTCAGCCCCAAGATATATGATAACTAAGGCAAAATAAACCTTGTCAAAAGTTCACATGATTTAACATCATCCGAAAACTCCATAGAGTCTTTTATTGTCTTAATCATTACTTCCACCCCCCCTTAAACAAACATAACATTCAAACAAGAACATTAATAAGCTCTCCTCTGTCCAAATCGTCCATTCATACGGCCTGATGGACATTGATAACGGGCACGGTGTCTCTGATGTTTGCCCAAATGGCTATATTCATGAAGTTTGTTGCTTCGATTCAAGCTCTTCTTGTTTAGGTAGCGAGTTTGCTCATAAGTCTGCCTTTGCAGCATCATTCGATAAGTCTGTGATGTATTCTGAGGGCAAGGTATGAGCCGCGCAGCATTGGATGGCCGGTTTATAGGTACGATGGGAAGGCTAACTTCCTCAAATGGAGTGCTAGGACGACGCTCTTCCTCCAGTTCATTTTGTGATTCATCATTGCCTTCATTATCCGTATTGACATTGTCCTGTATGAAGAAGATGGTGCGACTGTACGAGTCATAGACCGACATACTTGGGTGTTCAATCAGGAGATTTTCCATGGGCGTATGCAACACAGATGCTTCACTGGATCCATCTTGGCTGGCAGTGAAGCAGGCTGGGGGATCCATGATCCAGCTGTCACTTGGACATCCAGAAACAAAGCAAAAGAATTCTGGATTGTGGGGCAGTGGAGACTCATCGGAATCGGTGTCGAGGTGGAATAAGGCAAGTGTCTCATTTTGAGAACTATCTGGGTCATCATTCTCAGACACAAGACTTGTGATGAGGGCAGTGTCTTCGGATTCAGAGTTGTTTGAGGAAGTTTCAACAGCAGCAGCAGCAGCAGTGGAGTTTGTTTCAGTGGGTGGAGTAACTGGAAAAAAAAAAAAAAAAGAAATAAGTTTATAACTTTTTTTGTGAATCTATATTTACCTTCTCACCTTTATTAAGCTTAAAGAAATACAAAACCAAACTGGAAGTAGGAAGATTGCATTTCACTAACCATCAAAGTGTCTTGAAAATCATCATTTGAAATTGCAGCTTCTATTTAAACAGTGACCTCTGGTGCCAGTAGAATACAACTTCAGCTTTATTCAGTTTATCATATTTATTCAATGACATTTTGAAAAAACAAAAAGTTACTTTTGTGTTTAGTTGACGGCAAAGCAATTCGAAATAAGTTATAAACTAAAGTTCAATGGCGACATGTTCACCATTGTCCTCATCTGTGTTTCACCAATTGTTCCCCTCTGGCTTTTATCAAATGCTTGTTGTTCCAGGTAACCTTCTGGGAATTTTGAACCTTTATTTTCAAGTGATTTATTTGTTTAATGGCACATCAACTCCTTATGGGTCATTTAATACTGAAATGTAATTTTCTTGGAAGCTTTTAAGTAATAAAAATGTTATTCTGCTTTCACGATTGAATACATAGTAGATGATACTCAGCTTTTGCGCATATATATGTGCTGTAACCTAGGAAAGGTTACTGAATGAGGAATAACCAAAACGGAGGTCGGAAAAGAAATGGTAATCTTTATAACATCAACAAAATAAAATACTCGCCAGCAATGTGAAATAGGTAAATCACTGCTAGTGGTGGATTACTTAGACAGCATATTACTCCCACTTATAATAATGTCCCAACGTATTTATGAGGCTTGGGACATACCTATTAGGGTTCATATATACGGTATATAACAATATGTTTGTGTAGACATAATTACTAGAGGCAGTGATATGCGTGTTTCATGTTGTAGTTTTTGTTGAAGTTATATTTTAGAATAAAGTTTGATTTTTTTTAAGAAATTGTATGATATTGTATGGATTAATTTCATGAAAGTGTTCTTTCATGTTGGTTGATTTTGTTTGTGACATATTAACCTCCATGGATTATTTAAAGCCAAAATCTAAATATTTTGTACATACACTGATACCTTGAGATATGAGTAGCTTAACATATGAGTTTTTTGAGATATGAGTGGTGGCTCGGGCCATTTTTTGACTGACATGCAAGTTAATTTCCGAGATACGAGTCGTGCTTTTGGAAGTTTAGGTAAAGCATCAGCACAACAAACTTCTCATTCTTTCTCGGGTGTTACCCATACAGTAAAGACGTATCTTGTTCGTTGTCCATGCTTGTGCATCATTTTTACAGTTTCTAATTACATTACAATGATCTTTTGTGTACCATCATGAGTCCAAAGAAAGTGAATGTAAATATCAGTTGTGAGAAGATGAAGAAGAAGATGAAGAAGAAAAGAAGAAGAGAATGATGTCAATAGAAGTAAAACAAGAAATAATAATAAAAAAACATGAAAGTGGCGTATGAGCAATTAAACTGGCAAGGTAGTGCAAGCGCAGTTTAAGAAAGTGCAATTTTAGTCCATCTAATGTTAAGAAAGTGAAGTTTTATATATCTACAGTTTGCATCACCTCTTCCCTCCCTCCCTCCGCCTTCACCATTCATCTCTGTTACCTGCATACGTCTGTCTCTAAGGTAAGAACACAGTACTAAATAACACTTTTTTTTCTTTCTTTTATTTCATATCTATGTTAAACTTTGGTAAAGTATACATATGTCTTAATTAAAAACACGTCTTTTTCATAATTTAGAGTGATTTGGGGATGTTTTACAGAGCTGGAATGGATTAAATCTATTTCAGTTATTTTAAATGGGAAAATTTTTTTGACATATGAACTCTGTTACAGAACGGATTAAACTTGTATCTCAAGGTATTACTGTAATTTTATACTTTCAGAGTAAAGGTATGTTTTTTAGATATATATTTTGCAAATCATAAAATGTAGTGTTGGTTATTTTATTATAAAAATGTACTTTTGATTTTTGTTTGGGAGTTCACTATTTACCCATTATTGGGACCCTAACAGGTGCTACCACCCCAGGAATAACAAAAATTAAGAGGTGGTTCCATACTCCTGAAAACCTCCAATCATGATACCAGATGTAGTTTATCATCATACCCAGGATGATATAATCTACACGTGCAGATTCTCATCAACCTCTTGGCAGAATGAAGTAAAAATACAAGACAGAGGAGAAGATTGGAAAGTCAAGATATCGGAAAAGAATCAGCGCTTATGCTTCACTATGAAGACTTTCTTAGTGGGACTAATATAAACAAATAACATAGGGAAGGCATTAATAAAGAGAAATGACAGCAAAGTTTCAAGCAGCAGTGTAATCAAGCAGCAGCAACAATCCATCAGCAGGCAGGTTAGGTTTGAGGCTCCAAATTTTCAACTATATAGTCTAGTGCATTAAAGCATTAATTTGTGAATTTTGTAAAATAGAAATTGTAAGTTCAATCCCTGGCTTAGGCAGTGTGTATTTGAACTTAGTGGAAAGGAAGAAGCAATAAATAATAACTAGGTGGGATATCCCTAGACAGGCTCAGTTTAAATAAAGAGTTCAGTTCAAAATTCTTGGAGGGTTATGTGAATTGACAAGCACCTGGTGAAGGCTGGAGATCACAACAGCTGTAATGTTGTGATAACAATCATGATGAGGATAATAGTCTGCAGGTAAAGAAGTTAAATAGAAAGTCAGGCAGAAACAGGACCATTAAAAGGTAGAAAATGATTTAAATTAATACTTTAAAGCATTTCTCATGAGGAATGAAGCAAGAGAACGTGGATAATAAAAACAAAAGACAATTGATTTGAAAATAGTTTTTTTTTTTTTCAAGACTCATAAACATGTAATAATATTATAGAACAAAGGCATAAATGTGAGAATTGAGAAAGGAAAAGTAAAGCATAGGAATTAAATACTCAAAAATGAGAGCTAACCAATGATTATAAGCAAAAATGAAGCTAAAAAAATATTAAATATTTAAAAAAAAATAAGAAAAAAGATAATTAAAATAAATTCTAAATCCAACTTTATTTACACTATTTATTTTATACAGTGTAACCCGGATATAAGAGACACCCGGATATAAGAGAGATTTTCTCTGGACAAAATTAGAGCCTGTGTTAATGTATATAAAATAGACCAAACCCGGATATAAGAGACTTCTTCTCTGGTCCCGACAACTCTCTTATATCCAGGTTACACTGTATACATTTATATATATATATATATATATATATATATATATATATATATATATATATATATATAGTGTTGACTTCTATGTTCACTTTTATATTTACACACGCTCTATCTCTGATATTGAGCATTTTATTCCATAAATATAGCACACCTTAAGACTATATTTCTTTATATATATATATATTATACATACACACATACAAATACATTTTTATATATATATATATATATATTCCAACTATTGTTCTCATCTTAGCTATTATCATAACGTTTCATTTGTGATGTCGTCATCAGGTGTATATTGATCCAGGTAACCTACAGGGAATTTTGAACAGAACCTGAATATAAATAGTGTAAATAATGGATCTGAGAAATCCAGATGGAAATTATTGAATCAGGTTCAGAGTTCCCTGTAGGTTACCCAGATGGATATGTGCCTGAGGAAGACCAAAGGGTACAATAGCCAAAATATTGATAACAATAAAGATGAAGACAATAGTCCAAATATAAATAGTGTAAATAATGATAACTCTTCACTATTTACATTATTTGGACTATTGTCCTCATCTTTGTTGCCATATTTATTACGTTTTGGCTGTTGTACACTCTGGCCTTCTTCAGATTGTTGGAATGTCGAACTGAACCCTTTATTTCGCTCACTGGGATAAACTGTTCTAGTTCCACGTGCTATGTCTAATGAATATAAGTTATCTCCTGTTAATTCCCCTCTCCAAGTTCTTCACCACCTTAACCAGGTATTGAAACTCACACTCTTTGGGTCCTGTCACTGGATTTAACTAACACCTTTATCCACTGTGCTGTGTGTCCTTGAGGACATCTGTGTATGAATTTCTGGGTATTATAAACCTAATGTCTGCAGCAACCATTTTTTACCAGTGCTCATATTGCAATTTTTGCTGTTATCATTGCATGTTTTTACCAGAGCTCATTGTGATAAATATGGCAACAAAGATGAGGACAATATTCCAAATAATGTAAATAGTGTACATAATACCTCATCTCAGAAATATAGACAGATAATGATAACTCTTCATCCCAGAAATTCAGATTGAATCTAATTTCTTGTAAACATTTATGGTAGGTGGATGATATAGTTCATTTGCATTGAATCCCTTCACTCTATAGTCCTAAGTCACTCTCAACAAGTCAAGGTCATTTGTTAAATTTTCTTCCAGCATTTGAAATGCAAAATTGCTTATTTTGCAAACACACACACAGAGTTCAGTACCTGTCTCTTTGCTGATGTCAAGATGATTAAATTTCAAATCTAAATTGTTTGTCCATTTAAAATACAACATTTATTAGAAAATAGATCCAGTTTAAATAAAGAAGTCATAAAAATGATTTTAAAGGATCAACATGTACACTTTTCCTGTTACCCAGGGGTTGTTGTAAGATGGAAATGGAAATTTACCTTTGTGACAGGTGTGTGTGTGTCTCAAAATTATTGTTGGTAATTTTTCTTTTTTATATAAAAATGTATTGCTGGTATTTTTACTATAAAAATGTATTTTTATACTTTTACAGTGTTTTGATTTTGTTTAGAGGTTCACCATTTGCCCGTAGCTGGGTTCCTAACAGGTGCTACTACCCAAGGTAGGGTGGACCTGGGAACAACAGAAATTAAGTGATGGTTCCATGTTCCTCAAAACTTTTAATCTCCTGATCAGAGGCCTTGCTGTCAGATGTAGTTTATTGTCAAATCCAGGACTAAGATGAATGATTATAACACTCATCTCTTTGAAGATGATAATGTCAATGAATGAGTTTCATCA